GCAGTGTGTGAGCAGTGTGAGCAGTGCAGTGTGAGCAGTGTGAGCAGTGTGAGCAGTGTGAGGTCTGTGTGTGAGCATGTGTGCAGGGGGTGTATAGTGTGTGTGCAGGGTGTGCAGTGCACAGGCAGGGTGTGTGCAGGGTGTGCAGTGCACAGGCAGTGTGAGCAGTGTGTGCAGTGCAGGGTGTGCAGGGTGTGCAGTGCACAGGCAGTGTGAAAGTGTGCAGTGAGTCCAGTGTGAGCAGTGCAGTGTGAGCAGCGTGAGCAGTGTGAGCAGTGTGAGTGTAGTGTGATCAGTGTGATCAGTGTGAGCAGTGCTGTGTGAGCAGCGTGAGCAGTGTGAGCAGTGTGAGCAGTGTGAGCAGTGTGAGCAGTGTGTGATCAGTGTGAGCAGTGTGAGCAGTGTGTGTACAGTCTGAGCAGTGTGAACAGTGCATGCAGTGTGTGAGCAGTGTGTGAGCAGAGCAGCGTGAGCAGTGTGTGAGCAGTGTGTGAGCAGCGTGAGCAGTGCAGTGTGAGCAGCGTGAGCAGTGTGTGCAGTCTGTGAGCAGTGTGTTCAGTCTGTGAGCAGTGTGTGCAGTCTGTGAGCAGTGTGTTCAGTCTGTGAGCAGTGTGAGTGCAGTGTGAGCAGTGTCTGAGCAGTGTGAGCCGTGTGAGCCGTGTGAGCAGTGTGAGTGCAGTGTGAGTAGTGCAGTCTGAGCAGTGTGTGAGCAGTGTGAGCAGCGTGAGCAGTGCAGTGTGAGCAGGGTGTGAGCAGTGTGAGCAGTCTGCGAACAGCGTGAGCACTGTGTGAGCAGTGTGTGAGCAGTCTGTGCAGTGCAGTGTGAGCAGTGTGAGCGTAGTGTGATCAGTGTGTGCAGTCTGTTCTGTGAGCAGTGTGTTCAGTCTGTGAGCAGTGTGTGCAGTCTGTGAGCAGTGTGTTCAGTCTGTGAGCAGTGTGAGTGCAGTGTGAGCAGTGTCTGAGCAGTGTGTGAGCAGTGTGAGCCGTGTGAGCAGTGTGAGTAGTGCAGTCTGAGTAGTGCAGTCTGAGCAGTATGTGTGCAGTCTGAGCAGTGTGTGAGCAGTGTGAGCAGCGTGAGCAGTGCAGTGTGAGCAGGGTGTGAGCAGTGTGAGCAGTGTGATCGGTGTGATCGGTGTGAGCAGTGTGAGCAGTGTGTGCAGTGTGTGCAGTGTGAGCAGTGTGTGCAGTCTGTGAGCAGTGTGTGCAGTCTGTGAGCAGTGTGAGCAGTGTGAGCAGTGTTAGTCCAGTGTGAGCAGCGTGAGTGCAGTGTGAGCAGTGTGTGTAGTATGATCAGTGTGAGCAGTGTGAGCAGTGTGATCGGTGTGAGCAGTGTGATCGAGCAGTGTGAGCAGTTGTGAGTGCAGTGTGAGCAGCGTGAGCAATGTGAGCAATGCACTGTGAGCAGTGTGTGCAGTGTGTGATTCTGAGCAGTGTGTGAGCAGTGTGTGAGTGGTGTGAGCAGTGAGTGCAGTGTGTGAGCAGTGTGAGCAGTGCAGTGTAATCAGTGTGAGCAGTGCATGCAGTGTGATCAGTGTGTGATCAGTGTGAGCAGAGCAGTGTGAGCAGTGTGAGTGCAGCGTGAGCAGTATGTGTGCAGTGTGAGCAGCGTGAGCAGTGTGAGCAGTGTGAGTGTAGTGTGATCAGTGTGATCAGTGTGAGCAGTGCTGTGTGAGCAGCGTGAGCAGTGTGAGCAGTGTGAGCAGTGTGAGCAGTGTGAGCAGTGTGTGATCAGTGTGAGCAGTGTGAGCAGTGTGTGTACAGTCTGAGCAGTGTGAACAGTGCATGCAGTGTGTGAGCAGTGTGTGAGCAGAGCAGCGTGAGCAGTGTGTGAGCAGTGTGTGAGCAGCGTGAGCAGTGCAGTGTGAGCAGCGTGAGCAGTGTGTGCAGTCTGTGAGCAGTGTGTGCAGTCTGTGAGCAGTGTGTGCAGTCTGTGAGCAGTGTGTTCAGTCTGTGAGCAGTGTGAGTGCAGTGTGAGCAGTGTCTGAGCAGTGTGAGCCGTGTGAGCCGTGTGAGCAGTGTGAGTGCAGTGTGAGTAGTGCAGTCTGAGCAGTGTGTGAGCAGTGTGAGCAGCGTGAGCAGTGCAGTGTGAGCAGGGTGTGAGCAGTGTGAGCAGTCTGCGAACAGCGTGAGCACTGTGTGAGCAGTGTGAGCAGTGTCTGAGCAGTGTGAGCCGTGTGAGCCGTGTGAGCAGTGTGAGTGCAGTGTGAGTAGTGTGTGTAGTATGTGTGCAGTGTGTGAGCAGTGTGAGCAGTGTGAGCAGTGTGAGCAGTGTGAGCAGTTGTGAGTGCAGTGTGAGCAGCGTGAGCAATGTGAGCAATGCACTGTGAGCAGTGTGTGCAGTGTGTGATCAGTGTGATCGGTGTGAGCAGTGTGTGCAGTGTGAGCAGTGTGATCAGTGTGAGCAGTGTGAGCAGTGCAGTGTGAGCAGTGTGAGCAGTGTGAGCAGTGTGAGGTCTGTGTGTGAGCATTGTGAGCAGTGTGAGCAGTGTGTGTGCAGTGTGTGAGCAGTGTGATCAGTGTGTGAGCAGTGTGTGCAGGGTATGCTGTCTGAGCAGTGTGAGCAGTGTGAGCAGTGTGTGAGCAGTGTGAGCAGTGCCCCACAGAGCCCTCAGTGCCGGGGGTGCATCCCCCAGCGCTCCATACCCCCCCCGAGCCCGCACCGACCCCTCTGGCGGGGGGGTGGCGGGGACA